ATACTCGTTGTACTAGCTACTCGCATTATTTCAGTGTTGTGATGCACCCACAATCCATCAAGCAACCAATCAATCAATCAGTCTGCCAGTTCCTGTATAATACAAGCTCATGATGTTGTATGTTTTGTTTCGACTGTACTGTATAGTAAACGATGGGGCTGCTGCTCAGCTGCTCCCTTGCTGCCATTTCCTTATCGCCTGCTAGCATTAGTGTCAACCTCAACTTCAGCCTCAGCCGCTGCTCCCCTGTCTTGCGTGTGTTTTGTCCTCCACTTCAGTTAGAAAGTTTATTTCCCCCTAGCCCCCGCCCTAGCGCATATTCGTACATGTTTTGGATGCCTCTTTAGCGTTGATTTCTTTTCATTTCTTTCGTATCGACTATTTATTTCTCTCTCTATATATTTTTCATTATTTCTTATAGACATCATACGCAAAATGAGTGTAACGAGCAGACCAGGTAATGCGTGCGCACCGCCACCCTACCCCACACCCTTCCCGCATATGCGTTTCCACTCGTTCACATAACAAACGTTACCCGTTACCCTTTACCGTTACTCTTTATGTTTCTCTTTAGTTGCTTTGCTCCTACTCGCTTTGTTACTTTGTTCTCGCTTTCGTAATGCCAAACAGCAAACCTAACTGTTACCTGTGCTCCAGCTACAGCCACAGCCCAAAGCAAAGACACCTTGCCTCGCAGCAGTGAGCTTTAAGTCAGCCAAGTACATCCCACACACACTTCACACACATGGCCGCAATCCCTCCCATCAAATGATGATTTGCTCTTTGCTACGCTTACCGCCAGCCACCAGATTTTGTTGACACTCAATACTGATGTGTCTACGTGGGTGGAACAAAGGCTTTCACATTATTTTAATAATCTTCTGCGACACAGAGTAATAGCAAAGCTTTCTTTTGCACACACCCACACACTCTCACACGTTGCTCTGTATTCTCGCTCGCTCGCTCGCTCCACTCTCAGTTTATTGACTCTGCGCCGACGCATCGAAAGCCTTGTACAAAAAGGAAAGACCACCAAATACACCACCGCTCAACGTTGATCACTTTCGTAGTCTCCTAGATACTAGATACTACAAATATACTTACACATCATACAGAATCCGCACGTATTCGTTAGTGTGTGTCTGTAGATCGTAGTCTTAACTAATATACCGCCTGCCAATGCCCAATGAATGAACGTCTCTGCAACTAATTGAAACTCTATTTTCAAATGGGAAAACCACACACACACAACACTCAATCAGATCTTCATGTGAAGGCATCCCATCCCAAGGTATCGAATCCGTGGAACGTGGAGTTCCCGCCGGACGAGACCTACGTGATCAAGCCTCTCAATGGCGTCTTTCATGTCTATGAGGACGAGGTAAGCAAACAACTTCCGTTTGCAACTGTTCCTAAACCTTGAACCTTGTCTACGTTTTCAGGAGCAGACGAAGGAGCTCAAGTTTCTGTATCCGGACATGAGCCAGTTCGTCAACGATATGCAGGTCATGTGCAATATGATTGCCGATGGGCCACTGTGAGTACTGCCACGGCCACTGCTTACTGATTATTGCCATAATTGATTATTATATCCATTGAATGTTCGTTTCGCTTGATAGGAAATCATTTTGCTATCGCCGACTTTGCTACTTGTCATCCAAGTACCAGATGCATGTGCTGCTGAACGAACTGCGCGAGCTTGCCGCCCAGAAGGCGGTGCCCCATCGGGACTTTTACAATACGAGGAAGGTGGATACCCACATACATGCCGCCTCCTGCATGAACCAGAAGCATCTGCTGCGGTTCATCAAGAAGACGCTGAAGAACAGTGCCAATGAGGTGGTCACCTGCACCAATGGCCAGCCCATGACGCTCGCCCAGGTCTTCCAATCAATGAATCTGACCACATACGATCTAACTGTCGATATGCTGGACGTCCATGCCGATCGCAATACGTTCCATCGCTTCGACAAGTTCAATTCAAAGTACAATCCCATTGGCGAGTCACGCCTGAGGGAGGTGTTCCTGAAAACTGATAACTTCCTGAATGGCAAATACTTTGCACAAATTATAAAGGTAAATGCATATATTGGTGCTTGCCATGCATATTTATTATTTATTAATTGTTCCTTTTTCCGCTTAGGAAGTGGCATTCGATCTGGAAGAGTCCAAGTATCAAAATGCCGAGCTACGTCTCTCGATCTATGGCAAGTCGCCGGATGAGTGGAACAAGCTGGCCAAGTGGGCCATCGACAATGATGTTTACAGCTCGAACATACGCTGGCTGATCCAGATACCACGACTGTTTGACATCTTCAAGTCGAACAAAATGATGAAGTCATTCCAGGAGATATTGAACAACATATTCCTGCCCCTCTTCCAGGCCACAAATAAGCCCAGCGAGCATCCCGACTTGCATCGCTTCCTTCAGTATGTGATTGGCTTTGACTCCGTCGACGACGAGTCCAAGCCCGAGAATCCACTCTTCGACAACGATGTGCCCCGGCCCGAGGAATGGACCTACGAGGAGAATCCTCCCTATGCCTACTATATCTACTATATGTATGCCAACATGACGGTGCTGAATAAGTTTAGGCAGTGAGTAGAAAGACCGAGGGAGAGAGAGTCCAGGGAGTTCATTCGATTGTTAAATGTTAAATGTTAAATTTTCTGTATCTTTCAGAACACGCGGCATGAACACGTTTGTGCTGCGGCCCCATTGCGGTGAGGCTGGACCTGTTCAGCATTTGGTGTGCGGCTTTCTCATGGCCGAGAACATCTCCCACGGCCTGCTGCTGCGCAAGGTCCCTGTCCTGCAGTATCTCTACTATCTGACACAGATTGGGATAGCCATGTCGCCGCTGTCGAACAATTCGCTGTTCCTCAATTACCATCGGAATCCGTTGCCGGAATACTTGGCCCGCGGCCTGATCATCTCACTCTCGACAGACGATCCCTTGCAGTTTCACTTCACCAAGGTGGGTGACAGGTGACAATGCCGCATCGAATCGCCTCTAAACCTTTTCTCAACCATTAGGAACCCCTCATGGAGGAGTACAGCATTGCGGCTCAGGTGTGGAAGCTCAGCTCCTGTGACATGTGCGAGCTGGCCAGAAACAGTGTCATGATGAGCGGATTTACCCATAATGTGAGTGCTGCGCTCTAAGGGATCTCTCTCAATTCAATCCGAAAACTCTTTTAACTTTCAGACCAAGCAACAATGGCTGGGACCGCACTACTACGAGGATGGCATTATGGGCAACGATATAACCCGCACCAATGTGCCCGAAATACGTGTCGCCTATCGCTACGAGACCCTGCTGGATGAGCTCTCGAATATATTCAAAGTGAACCAGACCTGCGGATCCGTCCATGAGCATTCGTAGGTCGTGTGCACTCAACCACAACAGCCTGCTCCTATATACCACACATACAGATCTACATAGAATATATTTAACAAATATATTTCATAACATTAATAACAATATATTTCAATTCTGTACTAACCAAATTGTAAGCGCGGCAGACCAAAATTTCAAACTATACAAAATATACCCATACTGGCTAATATATTTATAGCTAATCAATTCAAACTACATGAGCATTGATCGATAATATTGTTTTCTTATTACTTAGAAATTGCGGTAGTACCATAAGGAACGGTTCTCAACGATTGTCCCCTATGAAAGGATATCAAAACAATTCGAATTGGCAAAAATTAGGAAGTTCATATTTGCGCCTATATTCGAACTATGTGGCAGCTCTCTCAAGGTAGCTTGTGATCAAAAAGGAATCCTGAGTCATTTGATATGGTGATTGGTTCGATCCAGAACATGGTAGTCTAAAAAATAGGAGACAAAATGTGGAACACGGCTGTGAAAGGTCATAAGGTTGAATGAAGAGATATTTCGCTTTTGTGTAAAATTAAATTTAATTATAATAAAGTCATCAGGCGGCGATGTAGTTTGACATCATCAGGTGTGGCTTCTAAAAATAAAAGAAAATACATAAAATCAAAGAAACCGGTGATTGGTTAGACGGTCATGATGATTTTTTTCATCAATATCCGGTGTTCCTTAGCAATAGAAAGGAGTAACAACAATATATAAGCCGGAGTCTAGCCCCGATTATGTGCGCAACTTTTTTTTTGTTTATTATTATAATATCAGTTAGCATACATGTGTCTCTACATGTTACATACACTTACATACTAAACACACAACTGCCCTGCTTCCAGAAGGGGTGACTTGAATGAATAATTCAAATGCAAATTTGTAAGATGTAAGGTCATAAAATAAGTATTTATAATTGGCCAAACTGATTCTTCAATCGGATTAAGTTATTGTTTCAGTGGCAAAAGTCTTTGCAAGCTTGTAATATCAAATAGAACATCGAAATCGAGGAAAATAATTTAAGATTGACGGCATATTTGCGGTATATTTTTCAAATTCGTAGGTATGTTTCTGTATGACCGTATATTTCGGTATAATTCCGAGGGTATGTCGGTATATGTTATCGATAATTCCGCGGTCACACTGGGTCACACTGTTTCCCCAACAAATCCGACAAAGAAAATGCTGAAAATTGAAGACCAAGTCAATGAAAAATCAAATTTCTGATTGACATTCAGCCCCGAGCAGTGCGCAAAGTGGAAATTGACCGGCAATAGCCGTTAGCTTCCATTTGGGGCGACGTCGTCAACTCCCCCACCCTCCGCCTGCAGAGTGTGAGTAAGAGAGAGAGAGCAGCGTCAGTGCAAAGCGAGGGAGTGAGAAGGAGGAAGGGGGAACATAATGACCACCCAGAGAACGCAACGAAATGCCACCAGCGCCGCCTCCACGGAGTCCGACTACGAGACGCTCATGCAGCGTCTACATATCGGGTCTGGTGGCGGTGGGGGTGGGGGCGGCGGCGGCATGCGTGGCTACCAACGCTCGCCGGGGGCCATCGAGAATTTCATCCACGATGGTCAGCAGCTGATGCATCATCACCACCACCAACAGCAGCAGCAGGCACACGACTACAAGCTGTACGAGCGCGACAACATCATTGCCGCCTCCAAATACGCCACGCCCAAGTCCGTCGAGCAGCTGACCATCAATGGAGGCGGCAGTCCACAGATCTATGCGCCCACCGCACAGGTGCTGGGCCAGCGCATCGCACCGCAGAAGCACTCGCCCGTGTACGAGAATCTCGAGTTCTACGGCCAGTTTGACTCGAATCACAAGCGGGCCCAGCCGCAGAGCCCGGGCAGCCGGCAGAGCGCCATGCTGAACGATTATCTGCTAATGCAACCGATTGGCGGCGGACGCTTTGCCCATACGCCCGTGCCCGAGACGGTGGCGGTGACGCTAGCTGCCCGCGAGCCTCTGGAGGAAATGGTGGCGCCCATATACGAGAACATCATACCGCATTCGGGGCAGCGTGCCCAGCCGCAGGCATCGCCGGCCACGGCCACCATGTACCAGGAAATGCCTGGCAATGTGGCCGCTGCCTCATCATCCACTGGCCTGGATCTCAATGCGCTGCTCTCGTCGCCCATGCACCAGCGCAGCATCAGCACAAACAACTCACAGCATGCCGCCGGCCCGGTGGGCTCGCCGACCCAACGGTACAGGAATCTGTCGCTGCCCAGTCATCTGAGTCCCGTGCCACCGCCCTCATCCTCGTCGACGTCGCCCCTGCCAATGTCCGTGTCCAAGCTGCAGCAGCACACACCCATCAAGCAGCAATCGGCTGGAGGCCACGGTGGCATCAATGTATCGGTGAATCCCAACTACATTGAGGACATCAACAGCTCGGACTATGTCTGCATGACGGCCAATCTGCATCGCAATACGCTGGCTGCATGCAGCAGCAGCTGCAGGCATACCGGCAGGGCAGCACAGCCAGCAACAGCTTCCGCAATGCCACAGCGAGCAGTCCAGGAGACACCAACAGCAGCAGGAGTAGCAGCAGCAGCATCAGCGTCGTCCACAGCAATAGCATCGCTGCGTGCCACACCCATAGCGATGTCAGCACCCTTGGCAGTGGCCACATCGCCCACGCCCTCACAGGGCAGCACAGGTATGACCCCTCTCCCCTAGCCGCTAACCACACAGAATGGATGCCATTCCAACAAAGACTAATATTGACTGCATTCTGCTCCACCCAATCCCCCCATTAACCCATTACTAAATGCTTGCCACTCGCAGCGGTCAATGCCGCATTGCGACCCCGAAAAGGTAGGAAGGAGTGAGGAGTCGATCGCTTGACACGAGACAGACAGAGAGCGAGAAAGAGAAAGTGTGAAGAAGAAACTAAAAACTAATCCTTGAATTTATATCCAACAACCAGGTCTAACCAAGAATCTGCTGCCGTATAGCGTGACACCGCCGCGTCCGGCTGGTCCGACAGAGGCGCAGCGTAAAATCGAGGAGCTCACACGACAGCTGGAGGAGGAAATAGAGCAAAGTGAGGAACATGGCGAGTACTTTGGTAAGTTTAGTACAAAAGAGACTCGAGTATTTGGATATAACATTTGAACGTGTCTATCCATTTCAGGCATTTGTCACACTTGCGGGGAGAAGGTGAAGGGTGCCGGACAGGCGTGTCAGGCCATGGGTAATCTTTATCACACGAATTGCTTCATTTGCTGCTCCTGCGGCCGAGCGTTGCGTGGCAAGGCCTTCTATAATGTGCATGGACGTGTCTACTGCGAGGAGGATTACATGGTAGGACTCCCCCCACTACCCCCCGTTTGTGCGTCTGCTAACTCCACTTAACCTTTCTGTCTCCCTTTCTCTCAGTATTCGGGCTTCCAGCAAACGGCGGAAAAGTGCGCCATTTGTGGGCATTTGATAATGGAAATGGTTTGTATATGCCAACACACACTCCTCCAACTCTCTTCCTGCCCCACTCACATCTATCCTCTCTCGCTCTTTGCAGATCTTGCAAGCCATGGGCAAGTCGTATCATCCGGGCTGCTTCCGCTGCTGCGTATGCAACGAGTGCCTGGACGGTGTGCCATTCACCGTGGATGTGGATCATAAGATCTACTGCGTCAATGACTATCATCGCATGTTCGCGCCAAAATGCGCCAGCTGTGGCAAAGGTAACACTGCGACTCTCAGCTCCCAGCTTCCCAGCTCGTTCTCTTACTGTTCTCTGTTCACTGGTCTCCATCAGGCATTACACCCGTTGAGGGCACCGACGAGACCGTGCGTGTTGTGTCCATGGACAAGGACTTCCATGTGGATTGCTACATATGCGAGGAGTGCGGCATGCAGCTGACAGATGAGCCGGATAAGCGTTGCTATCCATTGGACGGGCGCTTGCTATGCCGCGGCTGTCACCTGCAGCGTCTGGCCCTGCAATCATCACCGCACACACGCCACCAGGAGCCAGTGTGTGCCTCCTATCAGTATATGGGCTAAAGACTGCACCTGCCTGCCCGTCTGCCTGCCTCCTCCTTCTCCCACTACACCACTGACTGAGAGAGCGAACAACAAAATTATTCCAATATCAAAATATTATCTTAAACAAAATGAGAAGACAAACAGCAACAAATGCATTTATATACGAAAGGATCTTTCTTGGCGTGTATTCATTTTCATTTTCCGTTTAATTTTAATGCATGAGAATCTCCAGCTCGACGAGACGCTTGTTGGTGGCCGTGGGCATGCGGAAGGGCACCGTGGCCGCCATATTTGTGAGTGCTTTGGCCTTGGTGCGCAAGTGGCGGAGGGAGCCCTCCTTGTGTACGTCCTTCCAGTCGTCTGTTTGGGTGCTGTAGCGGCTGCCAAAGGAGGATCTGCTGGGGGCACTTCCGCCTTTCAGCCGCAAATACTCCTGGTAGACAAGATCCATGTCGGCCAGCATTATGTCGGGCAGCACTTTGTTCACCTCCGGACCGAGCCGCTTCAGATTTGCCACACACTCGTCCACCTCGGAGCAGTTGTTGGGCGTTATGCGATATTTGGCCAGCACCTCGGTGGCCAGCTGCGTGTCCTTGTTGTGGTAGTGATCGAAGAAGATGAGCACCTGCGTCAGCATTGTGTACGTGGCCAGGACATGCGGCTCCACATCCACACGCATCACGGAACGCTGCTCGTCCAGTCGGTCGATAATCGAGCACAAGCGATTCCGTAGGCTCGACTCCTTCGGCGGCTGATGGGCCACCTGCGACAGCAGCGTGCACACCAAACGCATCACCTTATCCAGCTGGCCACCGATAAAGTACAGCTTAATGGCTGCCTCGAAATTGCTGCGATGCGCCAGCTTATCCCCCACCATGCCCGCCAGCATATACTTGTCAATGTCTATCGTCTGGAACTGAGCAAAGATGCCGCTGAAAGGGAAAGAGAAGCAAATCAACTTGCAAACTGATCGTTAAGGGATTCGTGTGCGGCGCTTACCTCTGTGCGGATTTATCCGTTTCGCTGCCAAAGATCAGCTCAATAATTTTCTGGTCACAGTTCTCGACAAGCAAATCGCTGACACAGCTGAGCATCAGGCTGCTGCCGTTGTCGTCCTTGAAGTGGCGCAACAGGAAGTAGTAGTGAAGCGCCTCCTTGGTGTTGGTCAGATCAAAGCGCTTGGCATAAGTCACCAGCATGCGCACCAAATTGAGGCGCTTCATGGGCGTCGGATCCTCGGGATTGACGCTTAACAGCGGCTGATGCATGGAGCTCGGTGTGCTCAGCATGTGTATCTCATTCAGGGCAATGGCCATGTGCACGGCGTGCGGGAGATTCGCCTCTGTGCGGGCCAGGAACTCAATGGCCGACTCAAACTGGCCCGTCAGGATGAGCACACTGAAGTAGAGGGGCGCCTTTTCGCGTGCATTGAAGTAGTTCTCTCCGTACTTTTCCAGAATGAGGCTCTGCAGGCCGCTGTAGGTGAGCTGTTCGATGTTGTACTCACGCTCGTTGTCCTCCCGCAATATGGACAGTTGCATCCACAGGAAATCGTCGATGCTGCGCATTAGTTCCGGATGGGAATTCTGTGGATCGCATGCCAACACATAGGCATAAACCTGTCGCAAGAATGAAAGGGATAAAGAATATGTTAAGCGTGTGAAAGGCATGCAATGGAAGGCGAATGGCACCTACCGCCTTCTTGTATGGATCGCTGCAGCTGCGAATTTTACGGTTGTACTCCAGCTTGAGGACACCCTCGAGTCGGGCATACTGCTCGCCCTTGGTGCCGTCCTTCATCATGGCAAGCAAACGGAATAGATCACTGCAGACGCCAGATTCCTGCAAATATTTACTGGCCGCACTCAGATCGCCGCAACGCAGGCTGTAGTAGACGAGCGCCCAAAGCGGACGGTCGTTATCGACATCCTCTAGGCCGACCAGAGTGGCTGGCTGCACGAAATTGATGCCCACAAAAGAGTTGACCATGTTATAGACGCTGGGTATGCCGCCGAGCTTGGCCAGTATACGATTCTCGTTGATGACCGTTTTCATGTACTGCCTGTAACGACGCTCCAGATAGGTGCGTGCCTGCTGGGTCAGGGACTGGCGCGACTTGATGGGATCTACGGTGCGTGTGGCTGGCGCATTGTCTGTCATGAACTCCAGCACGCTCCACATTTCGGCGACCAGCGGATTGTCGAGACATTCTTTTGCCAGACAGGCGCACGCTGCCAGCAGGTTGCGGTGATGGCCTTGCTGGATTTTTAAATGATTGTATGCGGCTACCTCCTCGGCATACAGCTGCTCGGTGCGATTGAGCAGGGAACGTGGAGTGGGATTCTCGGGCAGAGTTGTGGACACAGACTGGCGCTGAACATCTGGAAATTCATCCTGTTTGGGCCCAACGAGGGCATTCAGCAGAGACTCCTTCTCCTCACCCCACTCGGCGTAGATGCGGCGCCACTTTTGCCTCTTCACCGACTCAAAAATCTGCAAAATGTAATTCCAGGCATTGCAGCACGAAAAACCGAACGAAACGAGTCGCCAATTAATGATTTCTTACCGAGCGATTGGTCTCATCGATCACAGACAGTATGGCATTCTCGCGCTCGTTCCTCAGAAAGTCGCGCACATCGGTGTCCGAGACGGGGTCCAGCGGCTGAAAGGTTTTGCGCGAGCTCAGCGATTCTAGTTTGTGCGTCAGCTTTGGCATATCCACGCCCTTGGAGCCCAGCAGCATGTGCCTGGGGGTTGATAAAGTAAAGGAACATTTGATATTACATTGATTACTATTCATGTGGTGTGCCGAACATACGCTTGCAGATCGTGTGTGCCTGTGAGAGTCACACGGGAGTGAAGTTCCTGTGTGACCGCCAATACTTGTGAAATGGTGCGATCGAAGGGCGGCATTTCCTCGTCCATTTTGGTGTCATTTGTGAGGCGCTGGGCCTGCCGCAGTAGGTCCCCTAGATCCATGTTCTTACTCTTTACTCTCTTCAAATTCGAACAAAACAGAAATTCCAAAAAGGTGGCGTCCGCCGGCAATGGGAATAGCTGCCTGAAATTTGTGTGGGAATGCCTATCGATAGGAATGTTAATAGCTTACATACATATATACGTACATACTGATAACAAGTACCAAAATGAAAAAAATACTGAAAAATCCAGACTAAAATGCAACCGTGCGAAAGTTGAATTACTCGAAGATATCATTTAAAACAGGGCTCTCCAGTCGGACTTAGTTGCTTCCAAACAGTATATTTGTATCGCTCTCTTTTCCAATTAACATGATTACACTATGCGTGAAGTTTTCGCTACAAATTTACAGGGGGTGAAACACGCGGGAATCCTTTTTGTTCCAGGTAGGAACGGTTATATTGGAAGGCATGTTGGTTGGTTGTTGTAATTTCAACTTCGTAAAAACCTCTGGTTTCCCTTCCAGTGTAGTTTCCGAAAGAATCATTACAGAATATGGAGCATGCATATAATATCGTGGCATAGGAACCTATTATGAACCGTTCCGCAACTGTTCAATGAAATCATTCCATAGCACATCCGTGGAATGCATAAAAGAGCGTTATCAAAGACCGCAAAAGAACATATGCATGTACACAAAAATATAAATATTCAAATTCATTGCGTTTATTAAATTAGATAACAAAGGCTATGTTGGCGGAACAAAAGAGAATGAGAAACAGCCGCGTTTTGTTTTGCAAATTACCTATTTTTCTTCTATGCGTTCACCTGAAACGTTTCCGATGCGTGAATTTCTGCCTTCCTAAAGTATGAAAGAAGAGGTATGTTGGCCTTCTGATAAAACCCGAACGGTCGGGAAGCGATTTGGGTTACATTTACTCTTTCTTGCTGGAGAAGATGCATAAAAGAACGCTTCTTTTGCGGAATCGGTTCTATCAGGTAAGGATACAGTCGGTCCGACTGGGTTGTTCTTTATTTTGCATCTGTGCGTGAGTCAAGCTGTAAGAAAATACCAGCAAGTGACACCTGTTAAGTTAACATGGAAATTTGCGTTAGAATTCAAATGTGCTTCTGTTATGTTATTTCTTAGAGTGTGATTGTTATTTTGAAATAAATGCACACTCCTAGAGAGCGAGCGCTGCTCTTACGCTCCTCTTCATTTTTCTATTTCTTTAATTAGATTTATCTTTAATCTTAAATAGACATTGAATCCTTCCAACATTCTGTTAAACATTTGGCTAGTCTGCTAATATCATCACGTCATAATTTATACAATCCAACAAAAAGGATTATTTATTCTTCAAGCGGATTAAATTATTGTTCCAGTGTTAATTCTTTTCAGGATATTTACAAAACCCGACAATCTTGTGGATAATGGATAAATCTAATAAAATTATTGTTTTAGCTAACTAGCTAGTAATATCAAGAAACACAAAAAATGAAAATGCAAAGGTATATTTCGGTATATTTCCGAGTTTCTGTCGGTATGTTTCATCGATATTTCCGCGGTCACACTGGACGGTACGTCCGCGGTCACCCCAGGGTTGTCAAATATTTAAAAAATATCTTATCGGTGATACATTTTGCTTGGAAAAAATATCAAAATCATATCACTGCAAAAACATCGATATATATGATATTATTTTACTTGTATATACTTGCAAAAATTCAATTCCATGCGCATAGGAAATAAATAACTCCCATAAAGAAAACAGATACCTTACATATATATGTTTTTAGCATCTTTAATCCTTATTCCACTTTCTCACAACAACCACCACTACTGCTGAAATTGCACTTTCCCATTTTTCTAGAACACTCTGAGAAAATAAACATTTCCTACATCCACTTGTGTGCACAAATACAATATACCTTATATATATAGATCTTGTGGTTAGTTACAGAACTTAAAATATAAAAAAATATCGCAAAAACATAAAAGTATATTGATATTTTGGGAAAAATTACGATATAAATATATTTTTAGTTGAAAAACATCGATATATTGATATTTTAATATATATTTGACAACCCTAGGTTATACTGTTTATTTTATTTTTTTGACTTTGACTGCGCTTATGCACACAAGTGCGAGAAATTGACAGCAATCATAGATATTTTGTTGCAGTGAGTGTGTCTGTTTCCCCATTCAGTGATTGTGTGTACATTTATCGAGTATTAGCAAATACAAAAATTAGCACAACAAAAGCGAAAAGCCAAACACACACACGCACGTACGCACCCCGTCACGCGGATAAACCTTTCCACAGAACGCTGTAAGCGAAGAGAAGAATAAGAAGCGAACCATGTCCAGCGCCGACGTTGAGACGCAGCCGCAGCAGGAGGCGACAAACGGCAGCAGCAAATTCGATGTTCCCGAGATAGAGCTGATCATCAAGGTAGGTGTTATTTTGGTCATATTTGCATACATTCATAAATACAAGCATGGGTATGCATGTATTAACTGGGTTTTCATTTAAATTTGCAAAAAAAATTCCATGCCACAAAGTGAAAATGCAGCGCTGTCAGGCGTCGGCAGAGCAAATGCAAAAGCAAACAAAGACAAAAAGAACGGTGTACCAAGGTGTATTTGAATGAGGTGATGAAGTCTCTCTCCGCTCTCCCAAGTATGTTTATTTTGTTTGTCATATATGAAAATAGGTCTCGCAATCCTTCTGGCACGTTGTGGATACAATTCGATGCAGAATGGGGCAAAACTATTGTAAGAGTGTTCTTTAGCAATGCGTCACTTTAAATAAATACACCTTGAAACTGCCGTTTCTGGCCACTTCTGTGTCTGCCTCTTCTGTTTCTTCATCTTCTATGTGTTGAGTGTTTGTGCGTGTGTGTGTCACAAGAAACAGAATTGTATATTCATTATGTCCATTTCATTTCTGCTTTTGGGTTTTATTTGTCTTTTGCCAGAGTCAGCAAGCAGCGCCCAGAGTCATAGCCAGAGCCCAGAGCTTCTCCCCTTTTATCATCAGCCCTCTCTTGCACGCCCCCCTTTTGTGTGTGCTGTTTTTGTGGTTTCTAAGCATCGCCAAAACCGGTTTCCTTCCCTCCCTACCATCAGCGAGAGCACACACACACACACACACACATACACCATGGCCTGCTGGCCTGTTGATTTGTGTATGCGTGTGTAAGAGTGTGGAAGGCTGCAACTGTGGATCGTAACGTATTTCTGTGCGGTTCTATTCTTATCTCCTGCTTCCAAAACTCTTAATCATGCTTCCCATTTGCGGCAATTGCTCAACAAAATGCTGACACAAGTCCCAAACACAGTTCTTGGCTTCTTTTATTTATCTTTGAGTGATTTCTAAACTTGTTGGGGGCATTCGTCATACCTTTTGCCTGGCGCATCACTGGGGGAGCCATGTGTCCGCTTTATTTGCCAAAGTAATTTGTGATTATTTTCGGAACACACTTTGGATTGTTGATTCTATTGGTCGGCCCTCTCTGACACCTCCTCCGCCAATCTAAAAGCAACCTAAAACAACCATCCATCAGTCCATCCCACGCCACAGGGCCGCACCTCTCGAAAAGTCTTACAGTGCATGACTAATTCGGCTCCATGAGGTCCAAAACCCAGCCCTATTTCCACTCACAGTCACAGTCCCTGTCCCAATCCAATGAGCAATAGCCCCACTCCCTTTTCCTGTTGCCAGAGAAAGTGGATGCGAGGCGCGCGCGCACCTGTTGCCTGTAGACTGGAATGCTCAGCTCAGCACTTTTCCAGCCAGCAGCCGAGAAGCATCTTTGACATAACCAACACGAAAAGCGCATTCGCACATAGGAAAGCCATTTCCATTTACAGCGAAAAGCAAAAAAAAAATGAAAAGTGAAAGTTCAATTTAAGAGCGGGAAGGAAAGTAAGCACTGGAAGCAGCACTCGGAGCTGCTGTAGTTGGGGTGATGTGATGGTGTGGCATGCCTCTCTGTTCCGCGCGTGCAGGCAACAAACAAACACAAATGGTTTTGTTGTTTCCACAGAGAGACAAAGCGCGGGACGGGGTGAGGAAAAGCAGCTAACAAAACAATCATTGAACGCTAAACAGGTTTTTCTCGTGTGCACTTTTTCGCCTCCCTGCCCCTGCCCTCCCCGCCACTTCGCGACAAAGCCAGAGCCAAAGCCTCCTCGTGCAGAGTTCGGAATTGGAGTCTCGGAGTCATCGCCCACGCGAGATCTGAAAAGATGCCCCAAATTGGCATCGAATCAAAACAAAAGAAACATTGCAAAGATGGGTGGGGGGACAAACATATTTTCCTTCCTTAAACGATTCCGATTTGAAACGATCCCTTCTTATGCAGTATATATGTATGTAAGTACAGATGCATGTAAGAGTATGTTTTCGCGATCCACTTAAACTAATTTAAGGCCTTTTTGTTGAGGGCGCCCTTTACAAACGATAACAATTGTCCAAGTTGAGGAAAATGCGCTTCTTTGTTGCTACTCCAAGCGAAGAGAGAGAAACTGAAGCTGTAGCTGTTGCAGTCCATACAGCTGAGGTCAATGCAAAATCTTCACAATCTTAATATCTACCAAAGCAAAGTTCAAATTGATGAATAAACGTACTAAAACCTCCCAGAACTGCACTAGAACGTTGACCACAACTGTATGCGGTACCCAATTCAGTGTTTTTGTTTGTGCATGCTGAGATGACAGTTGAACCAACTGATTTGTTGTCTTCTTCACGCCTCCACGTGCTGTTAGTCAATGTACACATGAATCCATATGCATGTATGCAATGCATATGCATGTTTTCTCGAGTGTGCAGAAAACACGCAAATGTTTATCGTGAATCACATCGTCTCCTCCTCATACTCCGTCTTAGCCTTAGCTTCTGCTTCTGCTTCTACTCTACTTCCACCCACACAGATTCTGCTTCTCCTCATTCCACCTTCATAGGTTCCGCTCCCCCGCCACCCATTGACAACTGTCTGTTACTTTTTTTTTGCTGTGGATGGCGTGTGGATTTCATTGACAAATTTCTGTTATTGTTTTACCCTTGCAGTAAGGTATTTCTATACTGCAAAGATGTTTGTTAGCATATTTGCTATTTAATTTAACCGTAATTGTGGGCTAATTTGATGCAAGTCCACATTTTGCTGCTTCTGCTGTGGTGGAACCCATTAAGTCGCGGTGGTGGAATGAATTCTACAAATTGATTACCGCTCCAGTTTTCATAAATAACAAGAAGGCCAGTGGAGAAGTGCGCGGGTGTTAAAAGTGGCGAGGGTGACGGAAAGACCCATTAGCCCATTACCAATTTGTGGGGCGGAAGATATGTATGCAAGTGCGAAACTCACGTTTATAGCACACCCAAAAAACATATCATGCATGCACCCCACCCCCCTCGTCACTTAGTGTTGATTATATTTTTTGTTGTATTATTTTGGCCATTACTTCATCACGGAGGCTTCCGCCCGTGCTTGATAAGATATCAAAGTATGCATACAAACATATGCATGTACGAATGTATCTGCTGTATGTGCCTGTATGTGGCCCAAAACGAATCGGTGAAATCGGTAGAATCGCGTTGTGGCATGTGAAGAAAAGCTCTCCTCAAGGCTGACATACTATGTATGTACCCCCCGTCCCAGTCGACCCTCCCTCACTCCCATTTGCACTCCCATCCCCATTGAGGATCGTCATCATCTGAAAACGGAATGATTGCGTTCTGCAGCTGTCGGCGAACCGGTTCCAAAAATAACGCCACGCGGGGCGGCAGAGACAGTCAGACAGGAGGGGTAGGGGTGCCCGGTGCGCGATGCCCGCCAACAACTATTTAATTTCATTTTCGTTTTTATTTATGATTTGTTGTTGCTGTTGGCACACAGCAAACACTTTTTTTATTTTATTTGACTTTACTTTAGTTTTGTGTTTTTGTATTTTCTTTTCTTGCCATGGTTTTTATCTTATCGCTCCACAAATTTACAATTGAAAAGGCATACAAAGCAGCGACATAACTGCCGGCCGTCAATAAATATAATGGGAGAATGTGAGCTAGCGAGACAGAGGCAGACTTGGAATGTTCCATTTATGTTAGTTTTATTTATTTATAATAGCCAAACAGAGTAAGAAGTAATTAAAGTAACCCTAAAATCCGATCGAACAAACTTGTTTACAGAACAGTAAATATTATGCAATACCTGAGAAACGTAGATATAGGATCAATGCTAGCTTTATTTGCAATAACAAGCACATAATACGGGAACCGGGGATTGGCTTGGAACAAGGTGAGGAGAGGCAGTCAGATGTACATAAATATATGTCCATAATTTATGTATTTCCAACGAAAATGTTGTACACAGATCTACAGTTTTTATTGGCAAGGTACCCTACCTCTCGAGGTGTGCTTGAGTGTGTGTGTGTGGATATTATTAGCCAGAAGTGCCATATATGTAGACGAGTGTGTGAATGTAGATGTGCATGTGAATGGCACTTGACATTTGCTAACTGCTTTTGGTGTTATTTTTTCTGCTGCCGTCTCTTCTCTCTCGTCATTTCTATTTTGAAAGCGTCAAGTTGCAGCAGCAGCAAGATTGCCCGATTGTCTGACTGACTCGACTGACTGACCTTTGGCGTTGCCACACATTTATTGTACAATTTGCGCTTTTGCAATTCATATTGCTAGCTGATGGAGGAAAAGCCAAAGCCAAAGCAAATGGCAAATGAGGCTAAAAGAAGATACATCAAATAAATGCCCCGCATGTAATCGGGGTCATTGGGGAATGTAATGGATGGAGACCAGACTGTATGTATGAAGTTTGCGTGCATGGTTAATGGTACATGCGTACGTGTGGGTCGTGTGTGTTGTGTGTATCGTATCCAGAAAAGCACAGTTAATAACATAGTCTACGCTACTCTGCTTTGTTAACATAAAAAGAAAGAAATAAGCTCCAAAGCGAAATTGATACGAGCAAAAAAACAAAAACAAAAACAAAAACCACCGCTTGCTGCGCTCCCACAGTGTTTGTGGGTTGCCATTGTGTTGCTGTTGTTGTTGTGGTTGATTATGCTGCTGGGGGCCATGTGGGTTGGGTTTGCTCTCTGTGTGTCTGTGGGTCTGTGCGGCCCATTAAGCCATTAACACACAGGCCAAATGCTAATTAACGACATATGTAGATATTAGGAATTATAATTTAATTGTTTGGGAATTCAGGCGTGTAAAGTTTTAGTCGGAGTTAACGCGCCAACTATTATCGAGTTTAATCGATTAATGTTCGTCAGAATGATTGCAGATAGCGTACTTCCTTTGATCGAGGAATTTTAAAAATGATTCAAAAGCTAACAACAGCCTTTTGGATAATAACAAAGAAAATAAAAACGAAAACGTTTTCGTTATGTTGTTGCGGTTGTGGGTTTTGTTCTCCAATCAACTGACTGCTGTGTAAAAGGCAAACAAGAATGCTGAATGCTTATCTAACGCACACATTGATTGCCATTGAAGTTAAGCCGGCTGTCGACAGAAAAACGGCAACAACGGGAAAGGCAAGGCAGTGGAAATCGACAAGTAAACCAACCTCTCGCTCGCACGCACACACTGTCATTTGATGCGATGATGATGTCATCGTAGTCACTTGATGAACATGTGCTGCCTGTCGCCGCTGACTGACTTTTGCTACTGGCCTTGGCAATGCACTGATGCAGAATATAACAGAGCAAGGCTCTGGGTCCGAGACCGGGCCCAAATCGACTTCCTGCTGGCAAAGAGTCTCCTCCTCCAATTACTCATTCTTGGCAGCGTCAGAGCTCTGATCATGATGGTGGTGGTGGTGGTGATGTGATGATGATGTCACATGACTGAAATTATGTTGAAAACTTTTATTTGATTTATTTATCGGTAATTGGCGGCACGCGAAGTCAGCGACCGAGCTCGTCATTATGCAAGCTAAATTTCCTATTAGGCAAACAGTTACGGAAAAACACATTTGACCCACATTGACTAATTTTGCGATTTTTTTTACAGGCCTCCACCATCGATGGACGCCGCAAGGGTGCCTGCCTGTTCTGTCAGGAGTACTTCATGGATCTGTATCTGCTGGCCGAGCTGAAGACAATCAGCCTGAAGGTGACCACAGTGGATATGCAGAAGCCGCCGCCAGATTTTCGCACCAACTTCGAGGCCACTCATCCGCCCATTCTGATTGACAATGGCCTGGCCATACTGGAGAACGAGAAGATCGAGCGTCACATTATGAAGAATATACCCGGCGGGTATAATCTGTTTGTGCAGGACAAGGAGGTGGCCACACTGATCGAGAATCTGTATGTGAAGTTGAAGCTGATGCTGGTGAAGAAGGACGATGCCAAGAACAATGCCCTCTTGTCGCACCTCAAGAAGATCAACGATCATTTGGCCAATCGCAATACACGCTTCCTCACGGGCGACACCATGTGCTGCTTCGACTGTGAGCTGATGCCACGTCTCCAGCACATTCGTGTGGCTGGCAAATACTTTGTGGACTTTGAGATCCCAGTAAGTGGATAAATACTTCATTGATCCTTGAACCTTGAACCTAATCCCAATGATATCATTCCTTGCACACAGACACACTTGACAGCGCTGTGGCGTTACATGTATCACATGTATCAGCTGGATGCCTTCACACAATCGTGCCCGGCCGACCAGGACATTATCAATCACTACAAGCTGCAACAGGTGGGGAATTAATCAACTAAAAGGCGTTTTCGATCAACTATTTATGTTTACTAATTGTACACCTTTCCATTTGCCCCACGCTTTTTCGTGTAGAGTCTCAAAATGAAGAAGCACGAGGAGCTGGAGACGCCGACGTTTACCACATCCATTCCAATTGATATTTCGGAGTAAAACTATATATCTAAATACATATATAAAACAGGATCGTGTTAAATCGACCACTTATAACTCTAGAATGGCTGGACCGATTTTCATGGTTTCTGATTTGAATCGCGATTTAAGTATTTTTGTATGATGTAGGCCTCTTCCAGGGCTGTCAAGCGTATGCTAATTAAACAAACAATATAAATAAAATAGTTGAATATCAACTACGTTATCAACCCAGATGTGTATGCTCTGCTGAAAAGCTTCAATTGGTTCAACAATAGTGTCTTGGGCATTTGTGTGGATAGTGTTTGCATCCTTTCGTTTTGGCTGGCCTAGTGGAAGTAGTTGTGCTATGTTGTGCTTGTTGGTTCCCCAACCAGAGTCTGGCGTGACGGATATCCGGGGCGCGGCGAGACAAACTTACCCGTCCCGTCGAATCTTTTTCTTTTGTGCGTTACAACTGGGTTTGGGTTCTCGTGGAGCATGGCCAGCACCAAGCCGATGCCAGACATTTTACAGACACTTCCACAAATATATACGGAGATGTTTTTGTCACGGAAAACTGACCAGAACAAAATGCGGAAGTAATTTGGCAATTTTACGATACTACGATTTTATTTTTGAATTCATTCATGGGTATAAATAGCCTGTGGTAGTATGTATATTTAGACACTTTGGTATTTTCTTATAAGCATCGCCCAGACATCGGGGTATCTTGTTTGTAAAAATGTTGTCAGCTTTTGCGCCTTTTGAGCCTGTTGGGGCGAACAGTTCCTGCACTTTCTGGTTATAACTTCTGGCAGGGCAGCTGAAATATATTGAATAAGATTTATGATTCTTACTTTGGCATCGCAGTTGACAAATTTTGGATGTATTTGCGCTACCTTTAAGTTGCTGGCCCAATTGGTCGCATTCGCTCTTCTCAAGAATGCACATTATCTGGCGACTGACAACGACCTGGTTATTCAGCAGCTTATTAATATTTCTCTCTTCGGCTTGCGCCTTTGATGAGATAAAAATGATGAAGAAAATAAAATAAAGAACCAAAAACTGCGCCTGATTTTTATTTAATGAAAGCATCACTACTCCTTCGAATACGCGACTGTATGACTAACTGACTACTGTCTGTGTACATATCTGAACGGTGGCCAGAAACTGTGTATCCCATTTATTCGTGCATGCGCAAAAGAGGCTGGCTGGACCTCGGAATGCCATCAAATATCTCACATCACATATACTCGGTACGTACGAGTCATCATCCCATCCAGTTACGGATAGGAATCGAAATCTCAAGTGCGACGGCAAAAGCACCAATCGTTGTAGACAACAATTTAATGAATATCCAGATAGATCCCTATTCAATCTTCGCGATTGTTGCCGTACAAAATAATTAGCAGAAAACTTTTAAGAGCTTTTACTTTGGACTCCCAATAGCAAATTAATCAAGAAACTGCTAAACCACCAAGGGTTTCCCTTCCCACTGATCTTCCATTCAAAAGAATTTAGTTTTAATTTGCAATGAAAATCAGTAAATCGCAAGGCCCATCGTTGCGACTCTGTGGGAATAATATCAAATATCTTCGAACGGAATGTAAACATCAGCAACGTTTTTATTCAATTTTACAACAAAAATAGTCTGTACATAACAACAAACAGGACAGGACCTCTTTGGCCAACTCGAATCGGATTGAGTGGAATTGGCCCGAGTACGAGTTCTCAACTAGCTGGCCATTGATGGGTCCGAACGATGCCTTGGCTTTGGGGGAGTTTTGAAGGGTCGCACAAATTTTATATTTGTCTTGAGGGAGTCGGGCAGCTGGCTGGGGGGCAGCAGACAGTGCAGAAAGACGTGGGTCAGGTAGCCAGTGATTCCCCAGATGCGGTACTGATCGACCACGAAGGCAGGGCTGCTGTAGCCGCTGCGGAATTGCGTGTGCCGTGCCGCCTTGGGTGCCATCAATGAGTTGAGCGGTATGCTGAATGCTTCCTCAACCTCTTCCCAGTTCAGACGCAGCTCAGAGATGTGAAAGTCGGCCACAAAGCCGACCACAGGCACAATGGCCGAGGTTAGGGGCAAATATAAGGGCTTTGCCTCCCCCCACACCTGGATGCGATCGCGAGGCAGACCGATTTCTTCTTCCGTCTCGCGCAGGGCACAGTCCACGTAGCTCTCGTCGCTTTCGTCACGTTTCCCGCCCGGAAAGGAGATCTGAAAGCTGTGACTACGCAAGTGTCGGGAGCGGCGCGTATAAAGCAGCGAAATCTCGTCCCTGAAAGGCGGAAGAGAATGGTCATCGTGGTTGGAGTCGCGATATCCGGACGGGTAAACATACACACGCCTGTGCCGCCACTTACGTGCCCCGTTCCTGGCAAAGAGCAATGAGCACGGAGGCCGATAGCTTTTCGCGCCTAGTGGGTGTCAGGGATTTTGGTCGGGGAAAGGCCGGCAGATTGCGCATCTTTTCCATGCAGCGCTTTTGCTGCTCCGGCGATACAAGGGCCGCATACTCGTAGGCGGTCAACAGCTGGCTATCGGTTCGCTCTGAGGCAACGGTCGCTGAGGAGCTAAGGTGGCAAATTGTTGTCCTCAACAGACGCTGCATCCGCTGGCGCGCCGAGTATGCAGTGGCCAACGACATCATATACCTTGGTGTCTGGCAAAAAAACAAACAAAACCAATAATATTTGCCAAAAATCGGATTTAACAAACCAAGAAATGATGTAAACAACAATCGGCTAAACCATCGATAGACTTTTCTATATTTCCGAAAATAGTCTGGGGAAACACGGACCAGAAAAGCGCCTCTGGCGGAGGGAACGCTATTCTCAGGTCCCGAATCTTGCCAGAGGTGGCGCCACGAGTTCTCCATAAGCCTACAGAGAGCGCCACTTGGCTTGTATGAACCGGCAAATCGATATATTGTGGGGTTAGTGTCCTGTGCAAGCATTTGGCTCCATTGGTTTGGGGTTTTGTGCTGCATGAGTTAAGCTTGGTGATAGTTTTGGGTATTTGGTTTGAAGGGAACATTTGAAAGGGTTTTGGGATGCCAAAAAAACTACGAACTTACTCTTGCTCATTGAGGAAATCAAGATTAAAGGGCGAAGCATACAGAAAGCTACTGTATCCGATCAACCCGAAACCTTCTAAAGAATTGAGTTTGTTTTTGTGTATAAATGTAGTTTATTTCTTGTTGTTCCATTTTTGTTTTGTTTTTTGTATTCTGTCACGTGTTAAATATTAATAAATAAATTGCATTAAGTAGTATACGATTAGTGTTTGGTTTTAGAAGTTAGTTAGAGGCGCAGTAGCAGAGAGTTTTAGACTTTCCTTGGTGATGCTGTGTCCCAAGTACATACATAAATACATAGGTTTCGAAATGTATTCATTAAATTGAATGTCTTGTGGATTGTGTGTGTGTGTGTGTTGTGTGTTCGCTTGTGTATTTGCAAAAATATTGCGCCTGCACTTCCGAATGGCGATCAGAAGTATGTATACATATATATAAATATTATTAACTTGTGTTTAATTATTTATTTTGTAATTTCTTTTTTTTTTGTCACCTGCACTTGAAATATTTAGAATATTCTTTAGTCATTTCCATTTAGATTAATAACATACATACATATGTACATATGTATGCCTAAGTGTGGATTTCAATATTAGCTTTTTGTTAATTTGCTGTTTGCTTTGTTCATCTCTCTCTTCATCGTTATCTTCTTTGTTTTTAAATATGCAAAAATAAGCTCTCTCTCTCTCGCTATCCTTTTCTTGCTGCTGTCCATCCATTTCTTATACATATACATAAATGTGTATGTATGTATCCTCTCTCGCTTAACAAAAACTAGACAATGCTGAAATTATTGTTCTTCGTATTACTTTTGCTGTTTTGCTTATTGTTTTCGATTCATGTTTATATCAAATACAGATACAGAGACTCCCATGCAAACCGTGCGCACATACATATGTACATACATATATGTTTTCATGTACGTACATATGTACGTATGTATCTCGTGTGTATTGCATTAATTCGATCGATCGAGAAGTGTGCTGTGTACATAAACAGATAGTAGATAGATACAGACAGAATCTTAAACATTCGCTTAACTTTGACGCTCTTAAATGCATTTTTTGTTTTCAATTTTGTTTTGTTTATTTTGTTGTGGTATTTTTGCGGGCTTTGTGGTTGTTTTGCAGGCATGCATGGCTTTGGTTACTTATGCTAGGCTATAAATATAATTATGATATCTCCGGTATTGCAATAATAATCCATAACGGCTCTCTCTCTATACAATAAAAATTCAACGAAATCTCAGCTTATCGCGTAAATATTCCCTTATAGCGTATTTCTTTTTTGGCATAAATTGTTTTTTTTTGTTTCCTCTTCATCAAAATTATAAATGTAGTTAAAAAATAATATTAAATACGGTAAGCCTTAGGGTTCATTTACATGGAAATCATATCATAGAAGTTAATACAATAATTGTAGTTGCTTGCAAGTAAGTAAATTCAATCGAATGCTTAAACTATTGTTCTACACGAGGGAGGGGTGTGTTCTGGGTACTGCTTACTGGGTTCTGGGACACAAGACCCAGTAGACAGGACGCTGAGGTTGAGTACTTTACAATTTTAGTACTCTGCTGTACACAGACACTGAGTAGCACACCCACACCCACACCCACACCCACACAGACCAATCCATCCACGCACTCACGAACACACTCTCTCAAAATTCAGTCTTTTTCATATACAAAGAAGGGCAAAGAGCAACGCGAACTGTAACGAAAGAGAAGCCAAGCAACCAAGAAGCAAACATTGGGTGAGACTGATTATTCCTTCCATTCCTTCGGGCTTCGACACTGTTTCGAAATAATCGAGTTACATCGAAAGTTACTTCCATTTACATTGTTTCGTTTTTATCGGAGGCATTCAAATTTAAAGCTGCTTTTTGCTATGTTCAAATCGATTGTTGAACTTTTGTTATCCATAACGATAACAATGGCCATGCATTGCGGCTTTAATGCTGCTCCACTTAAAGTTGATCAATTTTGAGCTCGCTCGTCAATTAGGAGTTCGTTTTAGGATCGATTATACACAGAGATTGCCCTTGCTAGCGAGTGATTCCAATTGGAGAGTGCATTTGCAGGTCCGTTCAGTACACGGAGTGTACTATAACGAAGTGCGACGGGCAGGGGGGCAGGTCGTGTGTGAGCAGATTCATATATTTTTTTTATATATAGATAGGCGTCTCTTGGCCAGTGAGCAAACGAAACATGGACGTGGGCATGGTCTTCATAAGGATCTAAACAAAATCGAAAAATGTTTCCAATGACAAAAGTGAGAAAACTGGAAACAGAATGCCTGCGCTTACCTCGCCCACAGATGATGACAGGAGCTTGACAATGGTATCATGGGGTACGGCCACAACACTCTGATTGTTAATCTCGATGATGCGATGACCCACACGGACACCGCCGCGCTCGGCAATGCCACCGCGCAGCAGACTGCAGATCTGCAGATGGAAAGAATCATTCAGTTAGTAGAAGAAATCGTTCGAAAAGGGATGAAGGATTCTTGTTCTCTTACCACGCCATTCTGGACACTGAAACCCAACTGGAAGAGGGCCTTGGGCCGCAGTATCTTCACCTCAACGACTGGGGGACAGGGCACGACGGTAAACTTGACGGCAGTTTGATTCTTGGCATTGCGTATGTAGCTCTGGCAGGTGGAGAGCGGCAGACCGACTAGGCTCATGCCATTAATGGCTATCAGCTGGTCGCCAATGTTCAGCTGCCCGCAACGGGCTGCGGCCCCGGTGGACATTAGATTGGCAATCACGACCGTGGGCAGCATGGAGCCCCAGCCGGATTCGACGATGACAACGCCAAGAATTTCGCCCTTGGCCTTGGGTACGACAACCTCCTTCTGGAGCTCCTTCTTGGCGAATATCTCGAGCTCATCGCCAAAGATCTCCTGACTGTTGAGCACCTCTTGGTAGTCCATCTCCTTGGCCAGATTCTCGTTCTCGATGCCATTGGCCTTGAGGAACTCCATGTAGGCCACCTGGAAGGCCTGGCCAATCGACTGGGCTATGAACTGAGCCTCATCGCTCTCGAACACATGGCAGATCATCTTCGGTGTGCGATTGTGCTTGCTGTGCAGCGCCTGTAAGGGCTCCTTTGGTGGCGAGGAGTCAGCTGCATCGCTGGCCGACACCGACACCGACACAGTCGGATTGGACACATCTCCAAGCGGATTTGGACTGGGGCTAGGATTTGAATCGCCCAAACTGTTGGGCACGAACCGGCGACGGGCCATCAGCACCACCAGATCCCCGATGTCGGCAATGTAAGAAATGGTGCGCAGGGCATGATCCATCATGATCTCCTTGAGGTCTGTGTTTAGCACCATTATCTTCTCGGTTGATATGAACAGATCCACCTCCGTGCTCGGCTGACTCTCGCCCTCGGGTGCCTGTATGGTGTATAAAAATGTACAAAAATTTCATAAATATGCCCAAACCTGTGCTTGTTTTTGGGGGTGTGGGTGGTGGGATTAACGATCGAAACAATCTCTTACCAAAGCCTATTCAAAGGGAATGCGCAGCAGGGAACGAGAAAAGCGAACGAGAGAAAGTTTAGACACAACAACACACATTTAACATTATTGCAAATAGATAGCCTAACATTAAGTTACACTTAGGATGGAGCTGGAACTACATATGTACATACATACGTGTGGGGGCGTGGAGGGGGCGGCTCACTCTTTATCACTCACCTTGATCCTTGAGACAGCCTCTTCGGCCTGCATCATGCGCGTTGACTTCGTGGGCTGACCCTCGCACACGAGCTGCGTCGATCCCAGATACTTGGCTCGGAAGAGCACCCCCTCGATGAGAACTTTGGGTTCCAATAGACCTAAAACACAGACACAAACGGTTATTAGATATGTGGCCAAGGGTACATTGAGTGAGTACATTGAGGCATGCATGTGGCACGAGACTTTGAGGCAGTGGCAGGTTAGCCTGCTGCTGCTTTAACGCTTCGTAAGCCACAAAACAAACAAAGAGATAGAGAGAGAGGAAAAGGTACATGGCAAGGAGAGAGATAGGTGGTAGACACGGTGGGAAAGAGTAACGAGTGAAAGAGCAGTAGACAGAGACACTTACATCACATAAACACATCACAAATAAATGGGTGGAAAGTGGGTGTGCGGATTGCAGCGTGAAATGTTATTATATATTAAATATAGGATATTCAAGAGAGAGATTGAGAGAAAGAGAGAGAGAGAGGAGATATCAGTATCAATGGAACCACAACAACAGCAAGTAAAGCAGGGGGCGTCATTTCGTTTCGTTTCGTTCCGTTCCGACTAAGGGAGTCGCCACTCACCCTCCTTGTTACGCGACTTTGCCTTCTTATCGCTATTTGCCGAGTCTTTGAGCGACTTAATGGATCCCGTCGGACTCTTGGTGAACTGCAGCTTCTCCGGTGAACCGCTGATCGTTATGTCCGCCGTGCCCGCAATCTGGCAAATGTCCGGCGAATTGGGCGTCAGGGAGGTGCCGATACCCTGCCGTATGGTGGCCGTCGAATAGGTCTGCGGCTTCGGATTATTGTTGTCAATGCAGCCGCCATTCAGATGCCCATTGCTGGCTATTTCCGTTCCCTCATTGGCATTGCTATCTGGCTCCTGAGACTGCGCATAAATTGGGAGGTTTGGAAAGTTAGTTATGGGAATACGACGATGGATCGAGTTGCCATTTACCAGATCGGAAAAAAAATCCTGCTCCTCGTGCCGCTGCTGGCCCAGTAATCGATCCGTTTCCAGATCGGTATCCGGCTCCTCTTCCTGCGCCGCTGGGGCTGGCACTGCTGTTGCTATTCCAATTGCTGCCGCCTCACATTTGCGCGGCACCCACACGGGGGACTCCGGCTCGGTTGGCAGCACTTCGTCGCAAAACTTGAGCTTATCCGGCTGTGTCTTGGCCCGCTGCAGGGCCGTGCGTATCTCCTTCATTGCCTCCTGGATCTCTACCGCCGCAGTGGCCGACTGTTGGACGGCACTGCCTGCTTCATAGACTGCACCATAATGGGATTGCTCGATGGGGCAGCAATCGCTTTCCACAGCTACGGCGGCTGCTGTGGCCTGCTCGGCCTGCATGGACTGTTCGTGACTGTTCGTGTCTGGCAGGTCAATTTGCGGCGGTGTGCAGGGCAGTGGCAATGGCAGTGGCGGTGGCATCGGCATTGGCAGCGAGGCAAAGTCACTTATCAGCGCCGAATGGGAGGCATCCGTGGTGACAGTCGCCAGACTGGCACTGTTGTTGTATTCGTTCTCCAGTCGTTCACCATTTATCGGGCCATTTGCATTGCCATTGTGCTCGTGGACGGGCTGCTGTTGGGGTTGCTGCTGTTGCTTGTCACAAACAACAGACACATTGTTCTCCGTATCGGAGGCATGGCCACTGCTAAGGCCATCCTCCAGCACGGGCATGCTCGTGTACAGCTTGCCATAGTCTGTGGGGCAGTTGATGTCATTCGACAGGCTATCCAGATCGCCGCAGTTCGAATCGTAGTCCGTTGTCTCCGGCGAGAGGGTAAAGTTACGCGAATGTCGCCGTAGATTCGCCTCCAGTTCGGTATCCGCCGGATCACCGCTGCTGCGGCTATTCGAATCGATATACAGCTCAATATCGTTGTGCTGCTCCTGGTACACAATCGGCACACAGACGCTGTTCTCGCTGGGTTGCTGCTGCGGAAAGAGAATGTGTTGGCAAAGTGTTTTCCTTGGAGAAGTCCTGTTTCGTCTCACCTGCTTCTTGCTGGGCGAACGATGTACCATATAAAGCTCTTCTTTGGGTATCCTAGCCAGCCGCTGGCCAATGTATGCTTGCTCCAAGGGTGTCGTTGCCGGATATTCCTGCTGCTGCTGCTGCTATGCAGGAGGAGGAAACTTGCTTCTTTAGGAGGAATCCTTTTCTCGTTATTCGTGTGTCTACTCACCGCATTGGGCACATCATCGCCACTCTCTGTGGTGTAGTCCGCGAAACGTTTCTCATCATCTGGATTGGCCTTGAAGAACTCCTCCAGCACCTTGCGCGTCTCCGAGAACTCGTATAAATAATCGAATGCTGGTGTTTTCTCTCTTGCTGCTGCCGCCATCCTGCTGTCCTCCTCGTGATCATTCAGATCTATCAGATTGCCCGACGATGCCTTGCCGGCCACACCGCTGCCGCTCGTGGTGGGCGAGACGCGCTGTGGAAAGCCTGGCGGTCGTTTGCGTGAGCCGCTATTCAATGCGTTGCTTGTTGCTGCCGCTGGCACTGTCGCCGGCTGGTTGCCAAACCGACGCGGCGATCCCTCGTACTCGGCTATGGGCAGCTGACCAATCATTTTGGTTACCTTCAGTATATCCTCCTGGCTGTCTGAGCGCAACACCGATGCGGCCTTGTTCATCCAGTTTGTGTCAATGTCGTCGAAGACAACAATCTCCCCATCCCTCAGGCACTGGCCATCGGCCTTGCCCACATCCGTTGGCGAACCAGGACTGGCACGACCCTGCCACAGAATTACAAGAGAATACATGAGAATGGTTGCCAACTCGTGGAGGGATTCATTAATGGACGAATGCCCGCAAGGACTTCCTTTTCCTTCCCCACATCTTATTCGATTGTTACACAACGAATTTTCTTACCTGTGGCAGGGATGATTCGTGGGCATCGAACTGGCTGCCCGGACTTCGTCCGACACGTATCTGATGGAGATGCGGCCGCTGGTAGTAGTAGGAGGATGACATCTGTCCGCCAGTTTCCCCATAGCCCATGGACAACTGTCCCGGCGACTGGCCCTGCAGCGGCGCATACGGGAGCTCGGCATTCAGGTCCGGTGAGTTAAGCACTGTGCTGGCAGGCGTCACATTCGGGCTGCGAGTTCGCATCTCCCACACATAGCGCTCCTGCTGCAGCGACTGCATCTGCATCTGCATCTGCGGCTGTCCAAAGTTCATTTGCAGCGGATTGGCCATCGAATCGTTGCTGCTGTCGCTACAGGAATTTGAATTCATTTCCTGCCTGGGGGTAGATAAGCTGGACGTTGGATGCTGGATGGTTTGCTGCTTGAACTCAGCTGTATGGATGTGTACTGGAACTGGAACTGGGACTGAAACTGAGTCTGTGAATGCTCCTCTCCGTCTTGGATTACTGCTCTAGTGCTGCGTCCGCTGCTGCTGCTGCTTCTGCTGCTGCTGACATGCCTCGTTCTGAGTAGATACTACCTAAGGGAGAGGTGGCAAAGGTGGAAATTAGTTGGCTCGATGATCTAACTGATGAATCACTGCAACTGCAGCAGCCACAGCCCCAGTAAGGGACGGAAAGAGAGAAATCAATGCTGGCTGGCTGGCTGACTGATGCTGCCAATTAACCCAATAACAAGGCCCGCGAATCGTGTCATCAAGGGACACAGTAGCCGTAGCCTTCACGTGTATCCTTCCATGTGTTCACCTCCCTTCCACACTCGCTCTCTGTCAGTGTGTGTGTGTGTGTGTGGATTGCGCACGTAAACTTGGCCTCCAAAAATGTTCCGCGCAGGCAAAACAAACTCGAGTGTGCAGAAAAACGCAGGAGGCTGGGCTGGCTATCAGACACAACAACAAAGCCACCCACTACCTGCCGAAGGTGTTGGGGGGGAGGGCTTGGATGTTGCAGGCTGTGTGTGTCTCGCCTTTGTTTTCGATTGTTTGGCACGGCACGGACGTTACTTCACCGCAAATACACACACACACACACACACACACACACACACACATCTGGGTGTGTGTAGGGTAGGGAGTGTGTGTTTGTGTGTACATCAGCGAATTGATGCCTTTGCGCGCCTGTGTAGATGTCGATGCGTGGTTTTTTTGTGTGTGTGTGTGTACTGCCATGGCATTGTTAAAAATCAATAGAATTTGCTGGTTTTTTTTTTCTGTAGCTAGTTCTTCCTGTTTCCATGAGTGGACGAACACCAGAGCCAGAGCCAGAGGCAGCACCAGCTCCGCCGACGCCCGCACACCACCCACCCGAACAACAACAACAACAGATGCAGCAACGGTAAATGACGCGGTCGTGGACAAGAGCGCGGACACGGACGGCGGTAAGGATCACATGCTACGCAACATCGCACATAAGCAAAACAACAACAACACCTGTCGCTAATTTACCGTTCAATTCATATTTTTTATCAAATGTTTCACCAGTGTGACCGCGGATGTACCGTCCAGTGTGACCGCGGAACTATCGATAAGATATACAGACAGACCCTCGGAAATATACCGAAATTAACGCTTGCATTTTCAAAATATACTGTAAATATACCGTCAATCTGAAATTATTTTCCTCGATTTTGATGTTCTATTTGATATTAATAGTTTGCAAAGACTTTCAGCACTAAAACAATAATTTAATCCGATTGAAGAATCAATTTGGCTAAATATAAATACTTATTTTATTTAATTGTATACCTTATGACCTTACAATTTACAAATTTGCATTTGAATTGTTCATTCAAGTCACCCCTTCTGGAAGCAGGTGAGCTTTGTGTTCAGTATGTAAGTGTATGTAACATGTAGAGACACATGTATGCTAACTTATTTGAAAATAAAAAAAAAGGCGCGCACATAATCGGGGCTAAAATTATCATGATCGGCTAACTAATCACCGATTTCTTTGATTTTATTTATTTTCTTTTATTTTTATATACTCTCACTCATTTTCTACTCCTAGTGGTCAACCTTCACAGATGGATGTCGATCCGCCGTCGGAACCTCCAGCCTGGTAGCTGCCTCAAAAATCCATACCCCTGTCAATCTTACTTCGGACTCGGTTGCCAGTGATGCTATGCACTCCAGTACAGTGGTCCTCGGCAAAGCAATCTTTGTCTCTCTCTCGTCTTATACCAGAAGCCACACCTGATGATGTCAAACTACATCTAAGCTCTTATCTCCAATCGCCGCCTGATGACTTTATTATAAGTAAATTTAATTTTACACAAAAGCGAAATATCTCTTCATTCAACCTTATGACCTTTCACAGCCGTGCTCCACATTTGGTCTCCTATTCTTTAGACTACCATGTTCTGGATCGAACCAATCACCACATCAAATGACTCAGGAGTCCTTTTTGATCACATGCTATTGAAATCAATTTTGCTTCAAGTTTGTTGTATTTGCAGACACAGAGTAAAGTAACTCTGTATAACTCACAAGGTTATTCGCGTTTGTTATGCTTAGAATTATTTCAAATTAAATAAATACAGTATGCCTCTGTTGTGAGGTTTTTAGATAAGGTTCATAGGATCGCTCGGTCACATTTTCACATGGACCGCAAGCCCCGTCTCGACACGACTTGACCGCAGTGATAGCGCCTTATCACTCCTGCCAAGTGCGAGTGGATCCTGAAACAGATGGAAGGAACACTTATGGAGAACTCAAAAGTAAACCCAATTTGTGTTTGTTTTAATTTTCTAGAAATAATACAAGTTTTGAATAATTATTTACGCTCGGATAAAAGATAAAGTATTTACTGATATAAATAGTTGGTCTCTGGGTGTAGTTGTGTCATGGGAAAACTGAAAAAAATAAGCTGTGCTGCTCTCGAGAATGGATAAAACCCCTGCTCGTTCAGCGAAACGCTCTCTTAGATGACAGGCTTTCAGCGTGGGGCTCCGAAGAGAGTGCAAAGAGAGAAGCAGTAAGAGAGAGCATTGTTGGACCAGGCCCAGGACCAATTGACTGGCTTACTGCTTGCCGTGCGCCCCGTCTCCGCCCAATGGGACGGCGCAGTACCTGTGCCAGTGCCACATGCCACATGCCACCACCCTGACCTACACAGCGGGCGGCCAATCAGCAAGTAGGCGGTGCAAGCCGGAAGGCCAGCCGATTGGACGCTGCCCTCCGCAGCGCCAACAGAGCGGCGCAAGCCAAAGAGAGAGAACACGACCACGAGGCGCAAGAGAGCCAACGCCAACACGGGCAATTGCTGAATTTAGGCCCAGCAAGAGAGCGATAGAGACAGAGAGACAGAGAGCGAGCGAGCGATTTGTGTTTTATTTCCACTTCTTTATTTTCTGAGCTCGGGTCTCGGCTCTGCTGCGGCTGCGGCTGCGGCTGCTGGTGCTGCTGCTCCCACAGACTACTGCTTCGTTCCGTTTCACGGGTTAAGTCCGCGCTGGCGGCCACATGAAGTGTCAGTAACGATTTAGTACGACCCGCGAGCGCACCTGCTCGACCCACCCACACATGCTCTGCTCGTGTGCCCGCCCAGATCTATCCAACCGCATTTGTGTGATCGATCTCATTTTTTTTTTGAAACAACTATTTTGTGCGAAGAGGGAACCCCACTCTTCCCCATATCCGTGTGGGTTCCTGTTTCTGTGTCTGTGTCTGTGCCTGTGTCTGTGTGTGTGAGTAGAAACAAAGATGTAAATTTATAAAAAAAAGGCGCCAAATATTGCAACTTTGAAGAAAGTGAACTGAAAAGTGTTATAAACCGGAATACTACAGCCGATACAAATAATTCAAAAGTATCCTCGAAATCCTGAGCATATTCCCGGCAAACTTCAGTAAACATTTAAAAAAAGATTTTTAAGTTATTCCATAACTTCAGATTTCATTGCTGGTGTTATTTCTCATGTGAATGGAATTCCCGAAAAAAATAATAACAGCAAAAGGGGGGCCCGGCCCCAGCCAAAAGCTATCGAGTTTCCATAAAGCAAACAAACATTTTCTGATGCATGTTTATTAAACATTCGACCCATATGTAAATTGTGCACAATGTTTGTTTATATTAACAACGTGGAGTGCAAAGCGGAGCGCAGAGATCATCTATGCGGGGAATGCTCGACAGCGAACTAATTCCAGTGTTAATTTTTGTGACTAATTTTTCGGAACGATCGTCACAACGGATCGGAACGGAACGGAATGGCGCGAGTTTGCGGCGCCTCAAAGTAGGCAGCGGGCGGAAACATATGGCCAAATGGACGATCGGTCCTCTTCAGTTCTGTTTCGTTCCCACTCTATTATGTTCAGTTCAGCTGTGTTCTGCTGTTACGAGTTGTAATTGTGACAAAATCAATCAATTTTTGATTCTATCGGCTATGTTTTTGTTTTTGTGGTTCCAGAGATAAGGATTTACGGATGAATGAACAAAACAAAACATTCCCACTAGCAGCCACGTCCAGTCCAGTCGATAAGCACCCTTCGGCTTCAGCCCGCACTGTAGACTGATAAACAGGGCAGAAAAGAGAAGAAAGGGAGCAGCAAAGATCAAAGTGAATTAATCCGAGGGCCGCGCCGAATGCATTTGCATCTATTGGCCAGCGACCCGAGAACGCAACAGTCCAGCAGCAGAAGCAGCAGGTCCAGGGGAAGATCCAGCGTCCGACGGCTCCATACGGGTGCAGCAGCAGTTGCAGAGTCCACAGCCCAAAGCGATCTCACCGCCAGCGACGCGGGCTGTGCCACTGTGGCGCCCGTTAGCATCGCCGGTCCCGGCCGCCTGGCGCGCAGCATCAACGGCAGCAGCGTCGGCAGCCACCACCCACACTCGTACTACCCACCCTACCCACACCACTACACCCAAAATCCGCATTCGCATTCGCACTCGCACCTGCAGCACCTGCAGCATTCCCACCACCCGCATCATCCCCACCACGCGGCTCATCCGTCTCACCACAGTATGGTGACTTCCTCCACCTCGCCCACCGGCAACGGCTGGACCACGCCGGGGGACTACAAAGGGGCCACAGCCGCGACGGCACCTGCCGCCCCGTCGGTGGCATCATCTGTGGCCGCCACAGCGTCCACAGCCGCCGCTGCCGCTGCCGCAGCCGCTTCGGTGATGTGCGAGGTTCTGCCCTCAAGCAGTGCCAGTGTGGGCAGCAGCTCGCCAACAGGTGGCGCCAGCAATGGCACGGCCCACAGTGGACACAGTGGTGGTGGGGGCAACAGCAGTAGCACCACCACCACCACCACCGCAACCACCACCACTGGGGCCAACAACAACAACAACAATGCAGTGCATCAGGATCTGCTGTGGATGGAGAGGCTGGTACTGAAGCGGCAGCAAGAGCATCCCGGAGAGCTAGGTGAGTGGGCAGGGGAAATTCATCTTAAATTTATTGACAGTGCACTAATTCAGAGTCAGCTATAGATCATTTGTTCAGCAGTCCGTTTGTTAGTGTCTCCTAAAAGAAAGATCCTTAATTAAAGTTGGTTCCAAGGATATTTAAATAAGCCTCAATGAGGCGAACTCCTGGGATTGTGGAATGTGTTGAGTGTATCCTGACTCTAAGTATAACTATTGCTGGTCGTTGCTTATGTATGTATGTACTTATTGGGGTTTCCGATTTCCCCTTTCTTTCCTTTCTGGCATGGCCTCGCTCTGGTAGAAGTTTAGCTCGTGTCCAAGCTGAGATTGAGGGGATCACTGGTGATGATCCACTGGCTGGATAACCCGATCCCAGTGAGCACATTCTTTGCCGACTCTTTGCCACATCCTTGCACATGCACTTCTGAGGCTTCCTCAGCGTCGGCATTATCATTATCATTATCCCATTCCATTCAATTCCTTTCCATCGCTTGTCGATGTCAACGGATGATGATGTCAAAGTTGTCCCTTTTGCCGCTGCTGCTGCTGCCGCTGCTGCTGTTTACGATGATGATGTGATGATGACGATGATGGCGCTGGCAAGACATGATGAATATGCGTAAATTGATATCAATAATTGTTATTGATATCAACGCACGAGTCTTTGGCCTTTCCTTACTCGAGCAGCCCCTACCCTGCCCTGCCCCACTCTACCCTCCACGCTGCCTGGTTGAACTTTGCTTGCGGCCAGATATCAATGACCCGAAATGAAAGCTGCTAATGAAATCTCAGCTCATCGTTCAGCTCTCCCCCTCCGTTCAGACCTGTGCAGCGCTCAGCTTTCCCATACATAAATAAATATCTCTGACAGCCAGATCCCTACGGCAAGCAGATCCTGTTCATGGCTGCTTATGTTGCAACTCAATGAACTTGATATTGAATTGCAACGTTCGAAAGTTTCTCAATCAGAGAATCGAGAAAGCATAAGGAAAACAGGACATTCCAGCAACTATGAGCTATAATTATGTATCAGGATTGCAAAGTGCTTAAATTTAGGCAGTCTCAAATGAATTTGTTTGGCGCCGCTTGGTTGGCCCACTTTCGGCACCAGGTCAAAAGTCAA